AATGCAATCCCCATCAAAATCCCATCAAACTTCTTCACAGACCTTGAGAGAACAATAATCAAGTTTATATGACTAAACAAAAAACCCAGGATAGCCAAAACAATCTTATACAATAAAAGAACTTCTGGAAGCATTACCATCCCTGACTTCAAACTCTATTACAGAGCGACAGTATTGAAAACAGCTTGGTACCGGCATAAGAACAGAGAAGTCGACCTATGGAATCAAATAGAAGACCGGATATTAACCCACAAACCTATGAACACCTGATTTTTGACAAGGGAGCTAAAGGTATACAATGGAAGAAGGAAAGCATCTTTAACAAATGGTGCTGGCATAACTGGATATCAACCTGTAGAAGAATGAAAGTAGATCCATGTCTATCACCATGCACAAAACTCAGGTCCAAATGGATTAAAGACATCAACATTAATCTGACCACTTTGAACCTGATAGAAGAGAAAGTGGGAAGTAGTCTACAAGATATAGGCACAGGAGGCCTCTTCCTAAGTAGAACCCCAGTAGCACAGACAATAAGAGAATCAATGAATAAATGGGACCTCCTGAAACTGAGAAGCTTCTGTAAAGCAAAGGACACTGTCAGTAGGACAAAAAGACTACCTTCTGACTGGGAGAAGATCTTCACCAACCCCTCAACAGACAAAGGTCTGATCTCCAAAATATACAAAGAACTCAAGAAACTAGATACTAAAACTCTAATTAACCCAATTAAAAAATGGGGTACTGAACTGAACAGAGAATTCACAACAGATGAACTTCGAATGGCCAAAAGACACTTAAGGTCATGCTCAACCTCCTTAGCGATCAAGGAAATGCAAATCAAAACAACTCTGAGATACCATCTTACACCTGTCAGAATAGCTGAACTTAAAAACACCAATGATAGCCTATGCTGGAGAGGATGTGGAGTGAGGGGAACACTCATCCATTGTTGGTGGGAATGCAAACTTGTGCAGCCACTGTGGAAATCAGTGTGGCGGCTTCTCAGGAAACTGGGAGTCAACCTCCCTCAAGACCCAGCAATTCCACTCTTGGGAATATACCCAAGAGATGCCCTATCATACTACAAAAGCATTTGTTCAACTATGTTCATAGCTGTGCTATTTGTAATAGCCAGAACATGGAAACAACCTAGGTGCCTCTCAATAGAAGAATGGTTAAAAAGAGGTGTGGAACATATACACATTAGAGTTTTACTCAGCGGTAAAAAACAATGACATCTTGAATTTTGCATGCAAATGGATGGAAATAGAAAACGCTTTACTGAGTGAGGTAACCCAGATCCAAAAAGAGGAATATGGTATGTACTCACTCATAAGTGGATTCTAGCAATAGTTAAAGGTCTTTGAGCCTATAATTCATGATCCTAGAGAAGCTAAATAAGAAGGTGAACCTGAAGAAAATCATGTAGTTATCCTCCTGGAGATTGAAAGTAGACAAGAGTGCCAGGCAACCTTGGGTGCATGGGGCGGGGGTGGGGGGTGGTTGTTGGAAAGGGAGAGGGTTAGAGAGAAGGGATTAGGGGAGGAATGGGGAAAGCTCGGGGGATTGCGATGGGGGGGAGGGAGGAAGGACGAATATGTGATCAGGGAAGTATATATCTCAACTAAGGGAGTCATTTTAGGGTTTACAAGAGACTTGATTATAAAAGGGATCCCAGGTCCAAGGAGAGATCCCCAGATTGTTCTCTGGACAGAGGAGAGGGTGCCTGAACCGGCCTTGGCCCATAACCATACTGATGAATATTTTGCATATCACCATAGACCCTTCCTCTGGCGATGGATGGAGATTGAGACAGAGACCCACATCGGAACACTGGACTTAACTCCCTAGGTCCAAACGAGAAGCAGAAGGAAAGAGAACGTGAGCAAAGAAGGCAAAACCAGAGAGAACCTTCATCCGACGATGGATGGCGATAGAGACGGAGACCCAAGTTGGAGCACTGGACTGAGCCTCCCAAGGTCCAAATGAGGAGCAGAAGGAGGGAGAACATGAAAAAGGAAATCAGGACCGCGAGGGGTGCGTTCACCCACTGATACAAGGGGTCTGATCGAATGAGAGCTCACCAAGGCCAGCTGGACTGGGAATGAACGAACATGTGATCAAACCGGATTCTCTGAATGTGGCTAACATGGGGGCTGACTGAGAAGCCATTTACAATGGCACTGGCTCTTGTTTCGTCTGCATGTACTGGCTGTTTGGGATCCTAGTCTGTTTGGATGTTCACCCTCCTAGACCTGGAGGGAGGGGGGAGGAACTTGAACTTGCCACAGGGCAGGAAACCCTGACTGCTCTTTGGACTGGAGAGGGAGGAGGAGAGGGAGTTGGGGAGTGCGGGGAATGGGAGGGTATGGGGAGGAGGGGAGCAAGTGCAAATTTTTATAAACAAATAAATAAATAAATAAATTTTAAAAAAGAAAGAAATTCAGCATGAAATCAATGCAACCAAAAGTAAAAAAAAAAAAAAAAAAAAAAATGAGAGCTCACACTCCAGAACTAGGTATGATTCATAAGCACTGAACACACAGATGAAGTCACATGAAAGTGTTTCCACCTGGTCTCCCTCTGTGTTAGTCTCTGTCCAGCCGCATTGAAGATACTTTTAGCATCTGAGGCCCATACTGTCAGGACCATACTGTCAGACATGATTCCTAGTTCTAAAACGTCTAAAGTTTTATAAGTCTGGTGAACTCCTTATGAATTTACAGGACAGCTCCTCAGAAGACTTCACTGTATTGGTCTAGTTCATCAACAATTGCCAGAAATAAAAAATGTAGACCCAAGAATTAAGTGTGAATCTTGAAAATAGGTGATTGGATTAAACAGCTAAAGGGAACAATCTGAGTGTTTCCTGTAAAGCTCACCCCCACCTATTGAGACAACAGCTCATGAGATTTTCTTCAGCTTCTGCTGAAACTTCAGTGCCTTGCCCTTCATTGGCTTTCCCTGGGGTCCTACTGACAAATGACAGTGGTGTTTCACTGTATAATCCTCTACACTGGAACTGCAACTCGACTTACTAATAGCGCATTTCCTTTCGTTCTGAAAAGTGCTGTGCCCTCTACATTGAAGACCTGGGGAAATATCTACATGGTTAGACCCACCCCTCCCCACTTCTTCCAAGCAGAAGCAGACAGCCCAGGCTGTTCCTGGCAGTCAGGTATTCTCCACAAGAAATACTTCAAAGTGCTGCAGCTTCTGATAAGGCATTGCACAACTGCCACCTGGTGGGCAAATGCATAAATCTACCACTCCATTTTAAGACAATAGTCCCTGGCCTCAGATAAGCGGCCATCAGTAGTACCTAGTCATCTGCAGGGTATTGAGCGAGTTATACCAGACTCAGACAAACACCACATGTTCTCTCGTATGCAGTTTTTAACTTCAGATCTTCAGATGTGACTATACAACACGGAGTAATCATACAAACCAGGAAAATATAAAGGGATCACAGGCACGGGGAGAGGCTTGAGAGGGAATAGCAGAATATAAGTGATATTTATGAAGAAACGGAAAAACAAGAAGACTGGGGATGGGACGGAGGTCAGTATAAAAGGAGGAGAAGCAAATAGCACCAAGGTTATTTGATAAACTTCGAGAATCATTCTACATTTACAGGAAGTTAAATGTGTGTGTGTGTATACATATATATTGGATTATAACTGTAAAGAAAAATTCAGTCATGAAATTTTCAGGTAAATGGATAGACCTAGAAAAGATTATTTTGAGCAATGTATCCAAGATCTGTAAAGACAAATGTCACATGTTCTCTCAATGTACATTTCCTAGCTCCAGATAGAGACGATTGATAGACAGAAGGATGGGTAGGTAGATAAATGGCAGCTTGTAAGAGCCAGAATACTAGGAAGTCCTCTGTGAGACTGCCTCTCTTAAAAATAGCTGCAAAACCAAAACCTAACAATGATAATACCAAGGGACAATGGTAACACAGAAAAGTGAAACCTCATGGGGTCTGACGCCTACGTAAAAAACGATAGGCAAATGAGTGCTGAGAGAGGAAAAAACTAGCCTCACCCAGTGACAAGTCTCCTAATTGGTTATCCAATACAAAGTAGCCAGCCCTGAAAGCAAATACACACAAGCAACAAAAATATAATCAGCAGGCTGTACTTACACATTTGTTCATATACATGAAACAATAATAATCAAAGAGGCTATCAATTTGCGAGTTGGAGTAGAGACATTAGAGGAGCTGGATGGAGGGTGCATGGGAGGTATTGTGTGAGGAAAGGAGAGGGAGAAGTCATGTAATTCTATCTTAACTACAATATATAAAACTTTGTTAACATAAATTTTAAAAATTTAATTTAAAGATTAAAATTTGACAGCACTGGGGAGGCAGAGGCAGTTGGACCTCTGTGAGTCTGAGACCAGCCTGATCTACAAGAGCTAGTTCCAGGACAAGCTCCAAAGCGACAGAGAAACCCTGTCTATAATTTGTAGAAAACATACTGGAGGGACAAAGGGGACAACTGTCCTATGGAACACTTAGTAGCCTCAGTGGATATCTGTGGGGACGAGACGAGACTCTCTGTAACATGGAATTTGCAGATTGTGATAGCTTGCAATCACACTTTTATTTAATCGGCACTTAAAGTAATAAATTAAGTACTTTAAAGTTACATTTATTCACTAATTATCCAATATGCTACATACATAGTTAATACTTTTAAAGACATATTTCTTATCTTGGCTGTATTTCTGATATTCTGGTCAAAAATGTCATAGGTACAGAAAATCTTGTAAGTTTAAAATGAAACCACATAAAACCATAATTACTAAGAAACAAAGAACAAGGCAATGAAGAAAGCCAAATCGTTTTATCCAAGAGTATGTTTTCCAGATATTTGAAAGTAAGAAATTCTTAGAGAGGATCTAGCCTAAATTCCATCCCATACATTGCACCTTTTTATGGAAAAAAATGGAAAACCCAGCTAATGATTGGGTTCATACTGTAGCTATAAACCATCCTGCTTATTATTGCTTTCAATATCTATTACATTTAATTGGTTTTCCTCTTCCCAGATTAAAAAAATTTCACCTTCTAAAATATAATATATTTCCAAGATATTTCCATTTCTGATATTTATGGATTTCTCAACTTGGCAAATAGCTAACACGTAAGCCAGAACAAACAGTTCGAAGGGATTTTCTGTTGCTGATTGGTTAGGATTTGTTCTTGAGTTCTGGGGTCTGTTAATTAAGCTGCTATTCTCATCAACATTTTTGAAGTTATTTGTCCGATTTCTAGGGCTTAGTGTAATGGAATTTATATCCTCTACAACTAGCAATGATGCATGCATGAGATCTGAAAACCTTTTCTTTAAATATAATTGGAATTTCTTCAAATCCATTTTTTCCTCTAAGCTCAAAGAGTTAATATGTGTGTGTTTCATTCTTCTATCCATCAAGTCAACCATGTTTTTGTAATAAAACTGATCAAGTGGTCCACCAATGGCATTATCAATAAGTGTTTTGCTCACACTTGCATTATGTCTCTCGCTGCTGAGTTTGTTTTTGTTTGACTGCAGCAGAAACGGGTATATTTTCATCCATAAGTGGTAACCCAAAGAATTTTCTATATCAGAATCTTTGCGGTAAGCAAAGCCTCGGTCTCCCTCATTTACATGTTGAAAGGTAACTGTTAGTATTGGACAATGTTGACCACAAAGAGCATAGAGTTTATCCAAAGAGTCACCTTCCTGAAGTGCACCAGAAGTGATTTTACTCCCAGGTAATGGCTGAGTTTTAATAGCATCATTGCAGACAGGGTGGACTTTATTACCAGCAGGAGCAAAGGTTTGTGTAACAGATGTACACACTCTTTCAGATGGATAATTAGCCCTCTCCTCCTTGTGATGATTTGGCATTCTCTCTTTGGGATGGGTTTTATTCTGCGCATCTAGAAAATCTTCGCAAAAGGGCTCAGAGTCACTACCATGAGGTAAGTTAAAATAGTTACATTTCACTTCAACGGATTGAGTCATTTCCTCCAGTTCTGAAGAGGACAATTCAGCCACTGCTGGTCCAGGAGCCAAGTCTCCAAAATGTGAATATGGCACCTCCAAGCTGTTCTTATCAACGAGAGTATCCACTGATGTGGTGTCTGCATTGCCATACATGCCAGTGTTGTCAAGTGACACTCTCCACAAATGATTTTCCTGCAGGAACCATTTGCCGTTGTCAATCAGCTCTCCTTTCTCTCTGTTTCTAAGGACCTTGTCATGCTCGGCTGGTTTTGTAACATGTTCTAGGGTGTTACCCCCAAAACCTTCTCTCATGCCGTTGATGTCACCTTCACCTTGTCTTTCCTCCTGGAATTCCTGAAACAGGAGTGAACTTCTAGATTCCTGTTCAGAAGAGATTAATGACTGGCACTCAGAAGCATCAAAATTTGTTTTCTTAGCACACCGAACTTCCACGGGATTATAAGGACAAACTTGAGATCTGTGTATAGACCCGTGAAAAAATTGTGGTTTGATAATCTCTGCTTTGCCATAAAGCTTTTCGATTGCCCTTTTAACAATTCCTCTATTGTGCTCTTTATCTTGGGCAGCGTCATCATTGTCACTCTGACCGTCACTGGATGTTTTATGAGGATGTCCCCTCTCACTGTCTGGTCTACAGTCTGACCAGTCTGAAGTCACAGGACTTCTGAGATGGGTTTTACCATTAAGTGAGGACTCTGTATAATTTACATTTTCAATATTTTCTACCATCATTTTAACTCTCATCTTATTTTCTCCTACACTGATCTCCTTTTCCATATTTTTATTAGAATCATGGAAAAAACCTAAAGATGGTGATGTCACCTGCTCCCTACCAATTTTCTCCAAAATCACAGTATTTCTTTCGTCTTTGATAGTATTCCTACCTGATATGTGCATCGACTTCAAACTCATCCTGGCCTCTAACTCTTTTTTCACAGACTCCTCAGTAGCTTGTTCTTCAGCACTTACTTTTATATTAGAAATATCTGCAGCTTGGCTTTCTAATTCTTCAAAAGATTCTAATTCTGAAACGCTGTTTCTTTCGTTTGATGTCATGGTATTGGTTGTGGAGCCTGGATCTTCAGAAGTTCTTGATTCTTCGTTATCAAAAGATAGACATTTCTTTTTATTCACAATTTTCTTCAGTGAGCAATTTTTTAGCTCTTCTAGAGAGCTATAATCCTTATCAATTTCGGAATCAGTTTTCCCTGGGAAAAGACCACAGGAGCTTAAGTCACTGACATTTTGATGTGATGTTAATACATTAGAGTCGTTTTTATGCACAGAGCCTACCAAAATATTTAAATCTTTCGGAACTTCATCAACTGTCTGGAGTTCTTCAATTAATTCTAAATTATCACCACATTTGTCTTCTTCTGAATTCACAAAGTCAACCTTATTGCAGGCTCCGATAGGAACGTAAGTCTCAGCACTCAGGCAAGCTGCCTCAGAGATGCTCTCTGTCTGAGCACAAACCTTATGGGAACACACACCACCGGTAAGTAAACAGCCCGCTCCTAGGGACAAAGCATCATTTGGGGAGAGCTGACTCATAGTATAACTATTACTAGTGAAAAAGGCATCGTTAGGGTTACCTGTCTCTTTTGAAGGATAAGCCATATTCACAGTACACACCTCACGTTGAGAGGTATGTTCCTTATCAATCATTTCTGAAACACGGAACTCAGGGTCACAGTCCTCCCTGGCAGAGTAACCCTCATCCAAGAGCCTCTTCTGTGTTCTCTCATTTTCATTACCCCTGACAACACTCTGAATGCTGGCTGCAGTACAATTTGCTGGTACCAGAACTTGTTCTCTCTCATTGGGTTCACTATAATTTCTGGTTGATTCCACTAAGTTGGCAACAGCAGCCTTCAAGTCGTCAGCTTCCTCGGTGATGGCAATGTGCTTCAGGATTTCCAACAATGCAACTGTTTCTGCAGATCTGCTGGTGATCTTATGAGTATCATTCTGATGGAAGCTATTCATACTTCCCTTTAGGTTTAGCACCAAAAGCCAAGCAAGAAGGAGGTTAGTGGATGAATTATATATCGCAGAAGAAAATGCAACATCTGCCAATGAACCCGGAATCTGAGCAATACCATTCTGATTTTTTTTGTTGCTACCAATAAAAGCTTCCAGATGTTGAAGCAACAGGGCTGGTAAGTAGTTCTTCAGAACATTCTCTCCCATGGTGTCTACCTGAGTGGCAGCCTCAATACTTTGCCCTTTTGTAGGTAGGTTCATTTCTTGGTAAATAAGATTCACTTCTGGTCCAGACTTCTCAGTAGATGAATGACTTTCAGTACTATGATGGTTAACAGTGGCTAGTGACAAAGAGCCACGGTCTTGCAGAGAAACATCTTGACTCTCACAGGCACGTTTATTTAGCTCCTTGCCATGATCTTTAACACCAAGAGATTCACCAGCCTCTTGATTCTTATTGCCTGTCCAGTTGTCATTTTTAGTTTGGTGTTTATTACTTTCCAAAATAAAACTATTTCTTTTTGAAGAAGCTGTGTGGAGATTATTTCCTGGAGAACCGTTACTGTTATAATTTACCACACTACTTCCATTTTTGCATAGTGGAGCTGAATTTCTGGGCTCAAAATCTTGATATGTATTTATGTTCTGCAACCATCGCTGTACATAGTTCTTAACTGAATGATGGGGAATACTCTCAAGAAAATCAGGTTTTTTGAAGGAAGCTAATGGACCTGCCCTACTCGTAACATGCTGCTCACTTACTATAGCACCTGACTTCAATTTATCTACCTTTTGTTTTCTCTGGCTTTTTAAAGTTACGTATAAATCATTAACTTTAGGGACTAAACTCTTGTTTGTCACGCCTCTTAAATTCCCTGTTACTATCTCCACTTGTGACTGTGGACTATGGAAAGGTTTCTGATGTTCCTCAAGGATATTAAAGACATGAAGTAAACTTTGATTCTCCAAATTACTTTTATGAAGGTTAGATTCACTGTGGAGAAATACTTTATCTCCTTGACCAATTTCTTGTTTTCTGAGCCCTCCTAAACTTATCATCTTTAGTGGTCTGGGTTTTCTTTTGACTAAAAGCCTTTGAGTCTTAGGATTTTGAAAGCCATTTAACTTATTTTTATGGAAATTCTTGGAAATCTTGGTACTGATATTATTACTTTGGGGGCAGAAATGATTTGATTCAGCTATCAAATCACTTGTATCAAGGGCTTCCTTACTAAATCTCCCTCCTTTAAGAGGACCGTCTGAATCTCTCAGTAGTATTTCCTGGGCAATTGCTCCTTCTTTGTTTATCTTCCCACTTTTTTTAGAGGTTCCTTTGGTTTCAATCACTTTTTTCTTATACCTGGGATTTATCATATGTGGCTGAGATTTCTTCTTTTTACTGGGAAAAGAGGATAAAACCTGCTTTCTATTTTCTTGAAGTTCTGTCAAGCCACAGTGAGCAAATTCCTTAACTAGCGTGTCTACTCTTGTGGTGACAGCTGAAGACCCTACAGAAGGAAACTCAGAAATACTTTTGTCGGTTTCAGAGTTGTTACCCGAGGAAAGAGTTCTATCTGCTGCAATCGAACGGCACCTGTCTTGGGTCTCACCATAAGTTCTGAAGTGCTTAATACCAGTTTTGTCTGACACTACCCTATCAACTATGCCTTCCTCCCCCACTGAATTCTCCGACACAGTTGGTGGTAAGCCATTGTTATGGCACATCTTGAAGACCTTCTGACTTGTAATTTCTATAGCGCCAGCATTTACGGCATTTGACGTGAGCAGTCCACTTTCCTTCGTTCTTTCTAGTGTCGACTCATCATTGCTCTGGATATGAACAAGTTTATTAGATACTGACGACATTTTACTGCAAGAATGTGCAAACACGTGATACTCGGATTTTTCCCCACCCTCTCTTTCTTCACTATAGGAAAACTGCTTCTCCTGAACCTCGGTTTCAGATACTAGAGTGACAGTACCTATCACAGACTTCTTCTGTCTCCTTCTCCTTGGCCCAGGGGTTGGGGGCCTATAAAAACGTTTCACTTGCTTCTGGACTCCCTGAATAACATCTGTGTCCACAGAAACATTCTCCCAGCCAGCAGAGCTGCATGATTCAGCCTGCTGCTCTGCCTTCTGAGAGTTTTCTTCCTCTGTCAGACTGCCCTGCTGAGTGGTATCTGTGACGTCTTCAGACAATGAGCGTGCTGCATGCGTTAGGCTGGATGGTCGATTATCCGTTCTTCCCAGATAACTGCTTTGCTCGCTCTTCCCATCGTTAATTGGAAGCCCGGCTCTATCGACAGTGGCTGTCCACTTTATGGTCTCTTCTTTGATCTTGAATCGAACTTTCATCACCACGGTCATAGTGCCATCCTGATTAAAAACAACGGACTTCTCAACACCGTCTTCGGAAGGAAACGCTGGCAGATCCTGAGAATCACGCTTCTCCCAGGTCAAGCTGTTTTCAGGGACTACAGAACAGTCTGAAGAGCAGTCACCTGTTTTCTCAGACGCCAGGGACTCAATCTGGGAACTTAGGACTGAAGGCATACGTGCACTCACTTTCAAGATTTTAAGAGTAAAAGATGCCATGTTAAAAACCAGCATAGAAAGGGGAAGTTGTAAATATCCCAAGGAAGACGCAGCAAAGAGAAAAGAAAAGGAAAAATTAGTACAAAATATCATTTTTTTCTGTATTTTGCAATAAAACGTTACAGATGCATTTCTAAATTCTATATACTCAATGGTTATTTGAGAAATCTTACTACAGTTTCTGGTTTTTTTTTTTTCAAACCACTATTAAATGCAAACTAATCATTCTTTAAAGGAAACATATTTAGAACTTTAATTTCTAAAGGAATGTCAATAAGAAGAATATAAAGTACAAATTACTAGTGATTATATTGGGTAAAAATGTTTTCTGTGTGGTTTATTTGCTTACCAGTACTGAAACTGGAATCTGGCAAAGGTCTGTAGATCCCAGTAAGAGACAATGACAAACAGCAGTGTGTGGTGGGGTTCCATTTAAGCACGTGCAAAAGACACTCAGCAGCCTTATGGAAGCTGACCATCTTTATACTTGATCAGTCAAATAGTATTTAAATTTTATTTGTGTCGTCCGTGCAGTTGATTTATTTACATAGACACAAAAACATCAGCATTTGACACAGCCCAAGTGTGGCTTTTAATATGAAGTCTGTCATTAACTTTAAGCAGTTGTGCTTTTTAACGTGAGAGATTTCTTCCTAGAAGTCCTTGTAGATTTGCACATGTCCCCTACAGTAATTGTCTTTGAAGTTTTCAGAGCTAACCCTAAAAATACTTTTATAGTTTTTGGTAAATAAAAATTTCTCATTCTTCACTTGAGGAAGTAAAACTTAACAAAGCTCTCACAGTCCCAGAGTCTATCAAAAATAATAAAGAGCTGATAAGAGACACAAAAAGAGCAAGTCCACTTCAGAAAATTGATCAAGGTGAAACAGTACAACTATATACATCATATATGCTTGGCAACTAATACCTAAAAATAGGTGCATTAACAAATATGAATGTACTCCTGAAATAATCAGATAGAGGCAATAAATTATTTCAGCATACTAGCAATAAGAACAGGGATTACCACTTCTTAAAATGAAGATTATTCCAAGTCTAAAAAGAATGAAAATTCGAATTCATGTGTACATGACAGTCGGCATAGAGTTTCTATTCCCTTGGAGACAGTGAGCACAGCGGGGAACTGAATAACTCTCTCACACTCTTGGGCCTCCAGATGCCCTCTTTCTCCCCATCCCAGTGACAGTGCCACACTGCTAATCAAATCCTAAAATTTTCAAAATTTAGATTATTGTTACTAATGTGAACTGGCTGAACGAAATACTTTATTTTGATCAAAAATGTTTCTAGGCATAGATAATTTTACAGGAACAGCTTCAGAAGGTAGAGTATATAGTTAGGTTTTTTTTTAATTTATATAGACCACGGATTTACTGAACTCAGCTATGAATGCTCCTTCAGACAAAAGTCTACAACTACCAGAGAAGTCACTTATACAGTTCTATAAAACTCTTTCCAAAGCAAAAAATTCTGACATTTTGTTTAAAAAAAAAAAAATAGCCAGGCAGTGATGGTGCATGCTTTTACACTTATAATCCCAGTACTCAGAGGTAGAGAGAGGCCGATCTCTGTAAATTCAAGGCCAACTTGGTCAATAGAGCAAGTTCCAGAACAGGCTCCAAAACTACAGAGAGACCCGGTCTCAAAAAACAACCAAAAAAAAGTATATTTCATCCATGTAAAAATGTGTATCATTGATTATTTGGAAGTCTTTTGAAAACTCACCAGATATCTGAGACTATTTTCTACTATACATTAGCGAATTTCTCTGGTGATAATTCAGGCTGGTCTGAAGATCAGAGGGCAGAGCTAGCCACTAGCTAGCCATAGAGATCTGGAGGTCTGTACAGATAGGCAGGAAGTGATATGGCTGGGGGGAGACAGGAAGTGATAAGGAGGAAGGAGACAGAAGCTCAGTCTCTTTTTAGCTAGAGAGTTGAGAGCTAAGATGTCCGTGGTTTTGCTCCTTCGTCTCTCTGATCTCTCAGCATTTTCCCCAATACCTGACTCTGGACTTTTATTATTAAGACCTATTGGAACCTGTGCTACAAATCTCCTTTTCGAATACTTTTAATCCTCTCATAGTTTGTCTTTTGTGACAAACTATGAATGAATCTGCTCCTTTAAATATAATTTTTCCTGGTAAAGCAAAAGAAAGTTTCAGAGCTAATAAGTGACTATCTATGAGAGACTTACTCTTTCTTTTCTCTAACGAGGGTTTACCCTTCCGGTGCACCCGATGAGAGACCCCTGGTAACCTAGCAGGAAGCAAGGACTTTTGGATGTTGTAGTTTCCTGGCTTAAATGGCTCCCTTCCAGCGGCCACCACAGCTCCCGAGCTCAGTAGCACTGCTTGGAGACTAGGAACCTAAAAGAAAGCAGAGTCACTGTCCACACATGAGCAAGTACTGATATTTCCATGAGGTATATTTATAACTTTGAATAGCTCACTTTGACATTTTCTTAGATACCAATCACGTACACAAAATTAATCTAGGCACAATGGGGGATGGGTGTAAACAGATCCATAGATCCTATTGAGCCTGCATACTAGCTAAAAAGTGAGAGGTTAGTTTTCTGGAATAACTAAATATCTTTAAAAGCAATGTCGTATTCCCCACCGAAGTCTGCAGTTACAGCAGCCAAGTGCCCGCCAATCCAGAGCCAACTGAGCAAGGACATGAGCGACAGCAAGGTTGAAAGCTGATGTCATGAGTTCGTACCGTTAGCCGCAGACCCTGCAGACCCCGCAGACCCTGCAGACCCCGCAGACCCTGCAGACCTGCCACGGGGATACTAGCAAGAAGCTTTTTCTAGATGGGAAAACACTACTCTTGGCCACTTGCTTCTAAGGAATACTATGAAAATGGTATTCTTTAACAAAACTGTAAGTTTTGAACTTAACAAACAAAACATGTTCACGGACAACGAATGGGGGGGGAAGCAGACGCCTTCCGACCCAATAACCCATCAGGTTCTGACAAGAAGACAAAGACTACTATGCACATACATGCCCATGTATACACTCACACGCGCGTACGCACATACACAGGGGAGATGACTTGGGAATCAGCAAAAACACTCACTTTTCTTCCGTCCGTGGCATACAGTTTGGCCACTGGACACTGCATGACCTGCGTCAGGTACTGCAGAAAGGCCTCGAAGCTCTGCGTAATCCTCCGGCTGAGAAGGATCACACGCTTGGTCTTTGGGTCGCCATTCCGGAAGACCACAAGCCTCCTCGGAGCACGGAGCACGCCGGGCGCAGTGGTGGGCACCAGGGCAGTAGCAGAGCCGAGGTGCACATGTGTGCTTATAGAGCGGCTGCTGAGCCAGGGCCGAGGGCGCCGGCGAGCCTTGTCCAGGTCAACGGGCAGCACCTTCCTATTGTGGGAGCACAGGTAGGACCCGCCGTCCTCCAGCTCCTCTAGCCTGGTGATGCTGTGCCTTCCACGGGGTGTGCTGATGTTCCTCACCCCAAAGGGCAGGGGCACCTTCCTGGATAAGTTGTCCAGGAGAGCGTCGAAGGTCTTAAAGGAGCGAGGACTGACCACCACCTTCACACCACCAAACTGGGGGTCTCCGCTCTTGTAGAAGCTGATGCGTTTAGCCACCACAGGGTGAGTGACGTTTGAATGGCGAGGGATAGGAACTTGACCTTCAGAAGAAGTCAGAGGAATCACGGAGACACTAGTAGATGGTGTCTCACTCATTTTGGCTGAGACCTCAAGAGGGAGGGAAAATAGCTTATTTTCACAATAGTCTGGATTGTGCCACTGAGACTGTATGATAATGCTAATGCTTGCTTGTTTGCCCGCTCCACCTTGTGATTTTAGAATATAAAAGAGTACAAATTGGGCACTGGAGAGATAGCTCGGTGGTTAAGAGCTCTGACTGCTCTTCCAAAAGACCCAGGTTCAATTCCCAGCACCCACATGGCAGCTCACAACTGTCTATAACTTCAACATCTGACACTCTAACACAGAGATACATTCAGGAAAAACACTAATGCACGATAGATGATAGATAGATAGATAGATAGATAGATAGATAGATAGATAGATAGATGATAGATAAATTATGCAAACTGGTCTGGAGATCAGAGCCTTTCAGGAGCTGTCCTGGCTTTGGTCCCAGCAAGGACATCTCCCCTCTTCCATTCTTGTTTGTATCAGAGTGCTTATTCCAGAAAGATTCCAACAACACCCCCAGCCCCCGTCGTTGGTTCAGAGAGAATGCTGCCCTGGGGCCTCTCCGCACGCTGAAGTCTCTGGAACTGGGAAGCGCGAACTCTAGGCAAGGTTCTAGAGTCCTCTTGCAGCGGCCAAGGAAAATGTGAGACCCAGAATCAGTCAAGTCTCTTTGAGTCTATGAGGATGAGACTAGGCTGGATGTTTAGACCAGCAAAGGACCCGCAAAGAGTTAGGCAGGAGTAAGGACCCCCAGGGAGTTAGGCAGAGTAGCCAGGCAGACTGGATCACCTGGCAGGAGTTTGCATCTGAAACCTCGATGGGATACCAATGTGGCACTGGTCTCCAAAGGAAAAGCATATTTCAGGCTGAGTAGAAGCTCTTTCTACCTGGACAGAGGATTAAAATGGAGCTTTTACAAATGACACCACCCTCAATCTTCAGGCCGAGTTGACAAAATGAATAAAACTTCTAAATGTCACTGGCCAAACATTGCCAAAAAACAGACCTCCTTGGCAAGAAATTCTGCTACTTGCTCTATTTTGGTTGATTACCCACACTGTGAATGATCTCCTTTTGAGCTCCTGTTTGACTACCCACCTCCACTGTTTGCAGATGACTCAGGGGACCTCCAAGTGTCTGGACACACACCCATCTCCAGCAATGCTTGAAAGATCTGACTGGCACTCCACAGAAAATTGCTTAAAATTGCAGTTATGGAGCCATGGATACACCACACCCACACCAAGGTTACTGTGGGTCCAAGCCAGGAATGGACTATGAGGGCCAACAGAGACTGACCTGAAACTGACGAACTCAAAATCATCTCAGGATGGTACACGTATTGGTAACATTTGTGGAATTGCTTAATTTCTGGTTTTGATTTTCAGGGCTAGGAATCTAAGCCAGGGCCACTTGTATTTTGAACAGCTGAGCAACATCCTCAGCCTGGTTTTTTAAGTGCTACTAAACTACGTAAATGTTTAAGAGTAAAAAATATTGTAGGATTTCAAAAAAAATCACAAAAGAGACACCAATCAGAGCCCCACCAACGAGAAAAATAAGAGTTTGGCAATTCATCAATTTAATCCTTCGTGGCTTAAATAGGATTGGAGAGGGGACAAGGAAAGGTTTAAATTCAGATGACTTTTGGGTGGAAGGAAATGCGAGTATTTAGAGGAATATGTATCCTTAAGTAAAGAATGTATCATGGTGATCTACAATGGATATGTTAAAATAGAATAAATAGAATTTAAAATAGAATCAGATGTTCCCTCTGAAATTTAGGAAATACAATAAATCATCAGTGAAGCTTACATTGAGCACTACTCACTAAATAAATAATCAAATTACTACGAACTGATGAAAATGGTGCTATCAATGTGTGAACTACGAGTTCTAAAACAAAACACTGGGGAATGGAAGAACAGTCCCTTTTAGAAAACTGCAGAGGGGTTCCTTGAAATCAGAATCTGACTGACAAAATTAACAACTTTAGAAAGGCTTTGCCTCTCTGGGTCTTCTTTATCATGGTATATCATGACTCTTTCTGTCGTTTTAATTCCCTTTAACTATTAGTGCCTTTGAAAGCAAAAGAAAGCCCTCAAATCTTGAAGACAAATTGAATGAAATAGATTTGAATGGTAGTGTGGAGACACCAAAAGGAATATTGCACTGTAAATCTGGCCCAAATCACCTGCATAAATATTTACAAGCAATTATCTCAGACTCTTCTTACATATCCCAAGTGATTTTCAAATCTTTATGTGCCATTTAGGAGAAAAAAAATCATTCTGTGATCAACCTAGATATGAACTGTCTCCCCATCTCATGTCCCTGGAGATTTAAAGTGATTATAGTCTTGAAGCTAATAAAGGTAGCTAGAGCGGGCATGCGCATCAGGAGCTGGGGAATCCAGCTTTTTAATAGTCAGCAAAACTGAAGTCGCTTCTCATCCTCTTCTAATCACTGACCTGACCTTGAGAAGCCTCCTTAATCTCTCTTCCCTTACCAGCTCTAAGAAAGAAAGAGGCTGGCTCACCAGTGCGTGACTACAAGTGGACAGGAAGAACGACTCCTGTTGTTCTAGTCACTAGGCTGACAGGTAACCGAGTCCCTCAAGACAGAAAGCAGATGTTAGGTCTTCCCAACAAGAACAAATGGCAAATGTGTCTGAGGAGCTAGTTACACCATTCACCTGGGTCTGATTATCACATATTGTATTGGGTTGAGAGGCCGCACTGTACTCCATAAATAGGTACAATTAATATATTTTAAAACTTCCTTCACTATTTAAATAAAGGACTTCAGAGCTCTTTACCTCCATGTATTTTTAGGTTGGTTCATTTACATGTTTATTTGAAAACTCATAAATAGGTATTTGAGATCTATTTTTACCTCCTTCTAGAAAAATGAAACGCTTCAATCATAGGAGCATTGTGAAGGTTTTAATGTTACTAGTCTGCATCTCACTGTAGGAAATGCTGTTAACCTGGTGGACATTTGGGGATTTGTATGTTGTGAATGGTTCTATATTTATTTGATTTGGGCTAATATACCATACAGAAAATTAGTACTGGGACCAAAGGGAAGAAGATGTACAACAAACCCCACAGGAGAAAGAACTAGCAGGCTCCCCCAGCCTTTTCCTTACTTCCTTACAGCAAGCCCTGTTTTGAGCCTAATCCATAAAAGGCAAGCTGAAGGTTGCCAGCATGCAGCAGTGGAAGAAGTCACTAGGGGAAGTTTTAGGGAGCTGTGTGATTTTGTGCTCATGGAAGTGAGGCTTAAGAGCCCGTGGTGATGTAGACTCTGTGAGTACAGCACACACACCATAATGGAGATTCAGCACTTGCATTAAATGAAAGGTCTGTCTGTGTTTGGTGCGTAAAGCAATCACTGGGGAAGGAGTTACCCACCAAATCCTTTCCAAGGAAGTGGGTCAGACTGGGCCCTATTGTAATCGCACTCCCGAGAATCCGTGAACATTAATGGTGTAAATCAGGAAGTGAGTTGATGATGAGTCGCAGGGCCAAGCGAAGCCTCAAGAAGGGATGTCTAGCCAGACTGAAGGCAGGAAACAGAAGGTAACACTTTCCAGAGGAAATCCATGAAAAGCTTAGATGACAGCTGCAGAGTAGAGGAGGTTGGGGAAACCAGTGTGGCACGCATGTGGCCACCTCACACGTGCAAGACAAGGGAAACCAGTGCGGCACGCATGTGGCCACCTCACACGCGCAAGACCAGTGATGTCAGCGCTAAGTCTCGGTGGCCAGATGTGCCCTTTGATTATTGAGTTCTTTCTTCATTTGTAAAACTAACCAAAGTTTGGATAGTAAAGTTTTCTTCTAAGCACTTTCAAACACATGCCCTCTGAGATTGGGATAACAAACTTTGGAGTCACCTGAAGAAACAAGCCAAGTAGCCTAACATGTTTAATTCGCTCCGTTTGCACTGAAAACCAGTGGGGGCAGAGGTAATAAGGAAACTGGAATCTTGAGAACTGCTTCTCTGCTCCCCTGACTCTCTGGAGACGGCAAGGGAGCTGACTAACAAAATGTATTTGCCTCCAGCCCAATTTACCCTAACACTGGCTGCTGCTAATGCGATAGCTTGCTGCCAGTATCGTCCATTCTCTATTCAGAACTTTCTCATTGCCGGAACTTAGGCAAGGGAGCGGTTATGAATACTTTGTCAGCTCCAGGATGAACATAGAACACCCTTTGGTTCACCAGGCTTAGCTGTGGTTACGCTTGTCTGCCTTCTGATGGGTCTTAGTTAACAATACATTTAACTCTGTGGTTAACCTGGTTAGGTGAACTAGGTTCCAGCAACTCGGGCCTGAACAGTTACCTCTACCCACACGATGCATCTGGTCCCCCAACCATCGGACAAAATAAAAGATGCATGCACCATTCCACTCATTATATTCTCTATTTAATTTTCTCCCACACAGGAGGAATTCGGGCAGTTGGGGAAGGATGATGTAGAAAACTGGACAAATCAGAACGTTTATTCTCAGGACAATTCACAGGTGACATTGTAGGGAAACTAATCGCTAATCGCTAATTACCACAGCCCTGTTGGGCAGGAGGGAAAAGAGACCCGGAGGAAATATATAGTAGTTATTCACTATGGCAGCCATTAACACTTGGATTATCAACAGGTTCTTTTCTTTAATGCATTGGAAAGTTTTCTATAATAAATGCATAATGCTATTATAAGCACAAATAAATAAACTTTCCTCATATTTCACCAAACTGGAAACACAATTTCCTGGTGCTAAAGCTCTCTTCTCCTTCAATACCAGCATACTACAAAGACTGAGGTCAGACCTGAGTAACATTTATTATTACTAACATTTATTATTCTAATGGTTAGAGATAAAACAGAGGTTTATAATCTTAGATATGAAAGGGAAAAGCAGAATAAAATGAGTAGAGCATAATTTTTGTTGAGATATTTTAAGCAGTCTTGTACTTACCAGAACCTGCACGCGTCCTTATGAAGAAAAGAGGAAGTAGTTTGAGTGGTTC